GGGTCTTGTGTAACACTGGATTTATCAAAAAATATCCAAATTTGAGATCTGATCCAATCCAACTATTATATATATCTGAGTTTGAGTAAAGTAAATCTAAGTTTGAAGGATGCTGGATGGAATAGGTTCCTTTTCTGTGGAGGTGGACACTAAATGCGTGTGGACCTGGTCATTAATGAGGCCCACATATGTTGGACCTACCATGTTCTGAAAATTTTTGCCACCAACCAGTCTTTTTTGCTCTCACCATACAACATAACCTTCACTGGGCTCTCTCTGCACTGCACAAGTGTCTATTACATCATGAAGCCCTACCACAAGTCCAAAACCACGTTTTGTTCTTTATATGTCTCCTCCTTCATGTGAGAGATGATGCCTCTCTTTCTCTCTCTGCATTAAATCAGTGTTTCTTGGACTTTCCCAAGAATTGATAACTTGCTAATGTGAGAAAGATGGTGAGAGACAAATGGATAGAGAAAGAAAACGTATGCATGGAAAGCTAATTTGGAAGCAAGCACTATTAAAGCGCGCGAGCTTCTTGTGACGATGATCGATGAAACCCCATACGTTAACGTTTCTTTCTTTGTCTTCATTCCTTTTGTCTCAACATTCTTAATTTGCAAGCAAATATGATGTAAGCAATATCACAAACCTTAGTATATACCATTACCAGGTCGTCGGCTATAGCTTTTAACCTTAACCATTTATTCATCCTGGTTTGGAAGAATTAATGGCTTAAAGAGGGCTATTACATACATATTGGGATTTGGAAGAATGCTATTAATCTATTAATAATGGCCTAATGGGTGCATCTTGGGTTGAGAAATGGGCCTTCGGCTGGTTTGGAAGGGCTTCAGCTTTTATTGAGTTGTGTTGACTGAATTGTTTTGAAGAAGTTATTAAAATTAACTTTACCGGAAAGTTGATTTTTTAACTGAAATAACGTGCATTTGAGCTTTCTAGGTCATGGTTTTCAAAATCGGATTAGATTGAATGGTTGAACCGGAAAAATCGGGAATCGGTCAGGTGATCGGTTCTGTTTTTCTCCAAAATTGGATTTTTTTCAAAAATCGTTGATTTTGGTTAACAAATCACTGACTTGAGCAATTATCCATCCGAATGGTTTTAACCGTTTTTTTTTTTGTTTTTAATTTCCCTGATGGATGACTTCTTGGAAAGTCCTCTTAATGTACCCCAACTTTGTTTCTTAAAGAGAGAGGGAGAGAGAAGAAGTAATTAGACTGACATACCAGTCCACCTGTGAAGAGCTCCACTGCAAAGACCCTAGGTTTGAACTTATACCCATGAAAGTTTCTCCTGTCCAACCACAAAAAGTGACCATGGAACAAAAATAGCTAGGGTTTCTCCTGTCCAACCACCAAGAGTTAAAATACTTCAACCTTTCCATGATTGCTTCAATAAGGATATCCCTATATCCAATATTCACTTTTTGCTCCTAAGCAGGGAATGCTCCTTCTCAAGGTTGATATTAAACGCACGGGTAACCCATTTAATTATATCTATACTATATACTAGTAGGAGTGTCAATTGGACTGGATTTGGTCCAATCCGTTCCAGTCCATTGTGAGTCTATTATGAATGGACCAGGTCCAATTCAATTCAATGAATATTTTGGACCAGTCTAATTCAATGTCTGGATGTTCAATCTGTTCAAATTCATTTTAATTTAGATTGATTTCAACCCAAACTCAATCCACCGATACCTATATTCTTATCTTATATCAATGAATCACATATTGGCTTAATCCAATCCAATCCAATATAAATTTATTATCATGGTTTTTAAAAACGAACCGGTGACCGAATCAGCCAGGGGTCTGGTTATTAGTTCGAACGGTTCGACTGTTCGACCTGAACAGTCGGCCCGTTCTGACAAAAAAAATAAAAAATTTAAAAAAAATAAAAAAATTGGAAAACGGTCAAAACCGTTCAAATGGTTCGAATGGTTAATCGACCGGTTCAGTAGTTTGCTGACCAAAATCAATGGTTTTGGGGAAAAAAGCGGTTTTGGAGAAAAACAGAACCGGTCAGGTGACCGGTTCTTGGTTCCCGGTTTTTCAGTCCAACCATTCAATCCGGTCTGATTTTGAAAACAGTGTTTATTATGGACGAACCAGGTCTAATCCAATTTAATAAATATTTTGGACCTAATTGGTCCAATCCAATATGCCTTGTTGGTCTGTCCAAATTGATTTTAGAGTAAATGGGGTGCAGTCCAAAACTGGTCCATTGACACCCTTATGTACTAGAGCAGGAGAGGTCGTAGGCACATAGCACCTATCCACACACTGGGCCTTACATGTTCCCAATGTGTTGTTGGATGCCCATGCTTTAAGCATACAGTATTTTTGGTTGTAGATCTTATCCTGAGATGCAAGCCATGGGGCATTTATCTTGTATTTGTGCTTTTTTTATTTTTATTTTTATTTTTATCTTTCCTTTAAACCTCTACTTTCTCTTTTCACTTCATTTAGTTTTTCCCTCAAATTCTCTCTTGTCCTTCATCCTTTTTCTCTAATCAAAATGGTTTTAATTTCCTCTTCAATTCTTTCCAATATCCTCAATTCTTTTAGTTAGTCATGCCCATGTACATGCATGGCCTCTCCCATTAGTATCTGTACCATATATTGTAAGCAGGGAGAGGGTGACATGGCTATTGCTATTTTGTATTTTTTTTCAAAATATTGTAAAATTAGATGTACAAGTGGAATTGAGTATGTGTTTGCAAGGTGCCATGATTGATAAGGTTTCTTACTGGTTATAGCAGAAATGTATATTTTTGTATATTGTAAGCAGGGTGGAATTGCATTTTCTGCCTTTATTTTTGTATTCCCTTTGAAATTCACTTATCTCTTCCATTTCACGCAGTTTTTCCTCCCTCAAAATCCTATCTTATCCCTTCTTCCTTTTCTCTCACCAAAACCATTTTTTCCTCCTGCTAGTAGTAAAGCCCTCAGCCAAGAAGGTATCTCCTTCAAACACATGGCTGGCCTCGTATATTCAGAAAAACAGGCAAATAATTTTAACTGGGTTAAAATTTTCCTCATATCCATTAGTAACAAATTAATCTGATTTAGTTTCCTAACTAAATAAAAGACTCCATGCAAAAGCTTCAATGCAATATATTGGGGTGTGTGTGTCTCGTTCTTTTAGATAAAGTGGGTGGTTATTTACCCAATAAAGCCTGTTTAACCTCCTAAATCAAATAAAAAATCTAACATAAATTTACTACATAGTGGGTTTTGAATAGAGGTGTAAATCGGATTGTGCCGCCCGCGACCCAGCACAACAGTCCACGGGCCGTGTCAGGCCTGGCACGATCATGCGGGCCGTGCTGGGCCTGGGGTTTTAGGTCCATGGGCCGGCATGGCCCATATATAATATTATATAAATTATAATTATATAATAATATATAGTATATAATATATTAATAAAATAAATATTTTTTTATTTTATTATACTAATTTATTTAATTATTATATATAAGCAATTATATACACAAAATTCATATAAAATTAAAATTTTAAGTTTTTTGTCAATTTTTTTTAAATAAATAGCATTGACCCGATGCATGGCCCGACTTCGCCCAAAGCTCGGCCCACGGGCCAGCCCGGCCCGCAGCACAGAACAGCACAGCATGGGCTTGCACGGGCCTGGGCCATGGGCCATGCCGGGCCGACCCCCAAATTTTCACCGGGAGGGCGGCATGGCCCGTGATGGCCCGCGAACCAGCATGACAGGGCCTGCACTTTGCATGGGCTGCCCATGGGCCATGCCGTGCCGGCCCGGCACAGCCCACATTACACCTAGTTCTGAATTACGTAAGAACAGTTGCTTCATACTTGGTAAGAGATTCTATATATTAACTAGTTTATCGTGAAAAGTGTTCTAATTAATTCAATTTTTAGGACGTTAGTTTGATCTTTAATTCTTTATGAATGTTAAAAAAATAATAATTTAGATGGCCTGCGTTCCCATGAAACTGTACACAAAGCCTTTTTTTTGGCTAACTGAACACAAAGGCTAGTTTAAGTTGTTCCATATTGCTTTTGTCATTCATCTAAGGAGTTATTTGATAACATCTGAAGAGGTTAAGGCGTGATGCCTTGCTGCTTTCTCAGAAATAGGTTGTGAGTTTCTTAATAGCTGAATGACATGCCTGGTTGATTACTGTACGTGTACCCTTAAATATTTATTGCAGGACTCTTTTATCTACCCGAAAAACAAAGACAATAAGTCATTCAGTCCAGCTATTTCGGCCATTATCACAAGCCCTCTAAGACGTAACAAAAAAAGAATCATGGATGGGATGCCTAATTCTGCAGTGCAGATGTACCTATTTTCCAGGGAGTCAGGATCTTCTGCTGCACTTCCCATTCATTTGTGACAAGTATCCATGCATATGAACCATACATGGAATGGGACACACAGGCTGAACTAAATGAAGGTGAAAGAAAAAATAGTGCAGCAGACCCAGACTCTTATTCATGATAGAATATAAATGAACAATTGAATATGTATGTATGTAATGTGTTCTTTCTTTCTATTCACATCTCATAGGATACCTCTTTTCATATTGCTTGTTTGCTTTGTTAGTTTACCTCATTTATATAGGGATGTCAATTTTCCTCCATTTCTTCAATTTCCATGGGGACCTGCCCTAAATGGGGTAGGGATGGGAATGATTTTCTCCCATGGGAATGGGGATGGGGAAATTTCCATCCCTGTTGGTGAAAACGGGGCGGGGACGGAGAGAGCATTCCCTGCCCGCAGGGACCCCGATCCCTTCTCTGTAGGGATCCCCGCTAATATATACGTGTATATATATGTATGCATACATCTATATATGTAAATATGCATGTATATTAATATTTTTAAAAAGATGATTAAATATGTTTGAAATTATTTGAATCAAGATTGCAAATTTTAATTATTTTATTTTTAAAACATTGCATTATTTTAGAAAATGAGAGAGGAGAGAATCCTACATCAATATGTTATCAATACTATTCCTGTCAAATCAAGTATCAAACTATCAATATCAACTTTGATCCCTTCTTATCAAAGGCCTGAATGAAAGTACTATCAGAAAATCCTCTGGATCCAGAGAGAGAGAGAACCAAACAGTTTGTTGGACCACCAACAAACTGCCACAAACCAAGCCTTCAGTAATTTTTGCACCAAGTGACTGCCACAAACCTAGCCTTGGGAGAATCTGGGGTCTTGGGACTTACCCAATTCTGGTCCTGGCAATCTGGGGCCTTGGGAGGGATGAACTGCCACAAACCTAGCCTTTAGTAATTTTTGCACCAAGTGGCTGCTCTCAGACTTCAACCTGCATTTTTATGCTTGTCAACCTAAAATTTTACCAGTGTACAAACAATGTCCCCTGCTATTCAAGAACTGAACAATCTAGAAAATAAGTAGCCATGGCATCCCTGGACTGTATCAAGCAAAGGAGCAGTCTGACATGCTTCTTCAACAGCACGATTCATCCATTTACTTAATAGTTCTTCAGCAATATGAGCAATCTGGTGCTGTAGTACAGATGCACCCAAAGGCCCAACCAAATTAAGCCTTGTGGCTGCAGAAATAGTATCTCTCATTGTAATAAACATGTAAGCCCTCTGAGAAGTCTCACTGTCAAATCCAAGAAGTCCGCATATAAGCCCAAAGACAGGGGCATGGTGGAAAGAAACAGTCCCGGAACCAAGCAAGGTGTCCCTCATTTTTTTGAGAGAAGGAAGTTCTACGAACACAGCGGCAGCTATCCTCAGAAGTGCTGATCCTTGGGAAATTGAAGCTTTCTTACTTACTTCATTTGTTAGTGTTGCATCTAAAATTTTATCAAGTCTTGTATAGGTATCCATGTTGGGGCACTTAGATGCAGCATACACAAAAGGAAGAAGTAGGCTCCCTGTGTTTTCCAATACATGGATCACATATGTTTTAAGATCTTCAGGCTTTGAAACCATATAAGCTTGGACAGCAGCTTCAAGACCAAAAGAATGAGCAAAACCACCTGTTGGAAGAATGGAATCAAGTAATTGCCATTGGCTCCACTGTAAGATATGCCCTGCAGATGCAGGAGTTTCCTTCCCTTGATTTAGATCCACCCCATGCTCCATCAGAAGTCCACTATCAACAGTAATAAGAATCTGCCAAAACTTGAAAAGGAAATAGAAACTACAAATGAGAACCATAAACAATCCAAGAAAATGATTTCATAGACTACAAGGTGGTCCAACAAATTAGTCCTTGAACATGTGATGCACATGCCTGGACTAAAAACCATTTTGAAAATCTAAAACCATAGATCACCAGTATAAATAAAATAAAAATAAATAAGAAAAGGTCATATGTTAAGCATTTTTGCTACCAGAATGGACACTTAGAATCTTTAACATTTGCTTTCCAAAACCATATTGCCCAAAAGACTGAGATATACAATGGATTGCTAGGACAATTATTTGATGAGTTCAATCCATCAATTCCTTCTTACGTAATGCATACACTACATTATTGGAAGGTCTTCCTAAAAACTAATGTCCAGGATCGTGAATGACATTAATCTGTGAATACTGAACAGGTTGGAACATTCTCTAGGTCTGTTGCGAGTGATACATTGGCAACAATTAAAAGCTCATTGGAATCAAGAACCATCTACAAAAAATTAAAGGGCTAAAGAAGTTCAACTGAAATAAACAGTACCCCTCTTTCAAGGCAAGACGACTGCACAGAAAACTGTTGAATAAGATGCACATAACTGAATATTGGCTCCAGATCTGCTAAAAACAAGACGTGTACAATGGGCTACATAACCCGATAAGGAGTAAATAAACCAGTGATCCATACTGTTATCAGACATACCAGTAACTGACACATTTGCTCTTGATTGGGTTTTGTAGTCTATTCTACACATCTTGTTTGTAGCTGATCCTGAGTCCTGAATATCAACATGAATGAAAAGAGTATGAAATTGGCACTGGAACATTGTTTTTCCTTTTAGACATGGATCACATTGACATACCACAAAACCAGAAATTATGACATTTATAACATTATCTGGAGATGATAATAGAGATGCTAGAACTAAGAATGACCACACAATACCACAATGATTGGAGACATTTTTGCTCTTTCCTCTTTCTTTTTTGGGTTTTTGTTTATCTTTTTCTTGGAAGATGAGGGGAAGATTGAGAAATGTAGAATGATCCAAATACAATGTAAAGGTTACAAGGTTATGCAAGATGCTCTTGGATGGCAAGGAAATAATAAAGGCTTAATTGGATTTTGAACGCTACTCTAGTGCCTAGGGAGATTCAGTCACTATATCAATGTTTCCAAATGCTAAAGATATGCTATGCACTCCACTATCAAAAAGCCTGACATACTAACCAAAACATGAGAGATGTAAGAGAACCAAGAATAGAATTTTTTTGAATTACTAATTAAACTAAAGCAAAATAGATAGCAACTTAAGTGTCGATGATCAACTCCAAGACTAAAAGATGATGGTGTTTACCAAACTGACATGGCTCACAATCCAAAAAAGAAACATGATTCAAGAATGGGACTACCAACTTAAGTGTGTGAAGTAAAGGATGACCAAGCTTGCAATGCCACTAGAAGGGGGTAATAAAGGACTGAAGTGCTACTTTTCATCCACCACCATCAAAGTAATACAATCCACCAATTTCATGCCCTCCACCAATCTTAATCCTCACTTATTCTTCTATATACATTCTTGAAGCTGTTCCTTTCTACTTTCCCATAAGTAACACGAACACTTGAGTAATGATGAAAAACCTACAACTGACAGTTTATAGTATATAATTGACCTTCTGGTTACAGTATATGGCAACCACCATATAAGAAATAAGGCAATTTCTTGGTACCGAAAGATACCGTACCTAAAATTTCATGTGAATTTGAATCAAAATACCAATTAAATGGTTATCAGTTTGTTAGTCACCATACCTTTTGGTACCATAGCAGGACTCAAGAAACAGACAAGGAACAATAAGTAAAAAGAAAAACAAAATATTGGACTGCAAGTTGATTTATATACTTGCTTGTTGTGATTTTATGTTTCCAAATGGTTTAACTCCACTCAAATCTTGACTGTAAATTAGAATGCACCTATTTTCATTCAAAAAGAGAATAGACCCTTCAGATACTATTCTTCAAAAAAAAAAAAAAAAACTTCAACTACACAAACCCAGTTAGTAGGAACTAATAGGTATTAACACAATCCACAGCAATGTCCCCATTGTTGACCAATGATGGGAACAAAACTTCTAATTTCTTCCAACCTCGTCATTCTTCAACCACTAACACTTTCTGAATTCAACGTTATCATGTTCTCTAACAACCTTCATTGCTTTTTTTTTCTTACTAACTAATTTCCCCTCTCAAAGATTTGTATATTATCCATTATGAGTTTTTCTGTCTGCTAGAAGCTCATGTTTCATCTAATTTCATTCCCATAATTATAGGGTCTCACAAATATGATTTAACTCAAAAAGTGACATCCTAGCAGATCAATAATTCTGAATTTCTAATCTCTTTTCTTTTTCCTAATTTGAATTAGATAGAATCTAAATTTTAGTTAAAATGAAAAGAGTGATCATATTACACACGAGCAAGAACAGTTATAGTCAAATTGATTAAAAAAACAGTTACGGTCAAGCATGAATTAACCCATATCACCTGCCACAAGAATCAGCAAAATTACATTAGGGAAAATCTTTGATGCGGGAAAGACAAGGTATGGGAAGAGTTTTGACCAATCAAAACCCACCCATGAATTAGTAAGAACTACGATAACAGATGTGAACTCATCATAATTAGTAAGAACTCCAAATAAGTGCAGAACATCAAAACGAATCGGATGAATACAAAGGAAAAAAAAAAAACAGTTATAGTCAAGCATGACTGAACCGACTTCACCTGTCACAAATCAACAAAATTACAGAAACGCCTAAAAGTACAATTCAAACAAATACCAGGTCAAATTATGATAACAGATGCAAGACCATCAAAAGTTAGTGAGAACTCCAAACAAATATAGAAATATCAAGTCGAATCAGATCAATCCATGATGTGATTATACAGAAAACAAGAACGCTATCACTTGAACAGAGAAAAGTCAAGCATAGAAATCGGTTTCGAACTGGGAATCAGAGAGCGAGCGAGCGAGCGAGAGAGATGTTCAGAGAAAATCACCTGTGCCCTAGGAGTAAAGACCACGGAAAGTTTGGTGACTTTGGTCAACCACCTTACGAATCAATCTGTTTAAATATGTAAACTTTTGAAGTCATGTGAAGAGATAAATACAGATTACAGAGTTTCTTCTGGTGGACCTTTTGGGATGACAACGGTCAACGGATGAACGGAATCGTCGACTGTTTGCCTGAAGCCCGAAAGAGAATCACTTCGGAATTCGGATCACCCACGCTTGAACTCGCCGGAAAAATCCCGGTGAGTCCACAACAAATTTTCGTTGTTTTGCTGCACTCGCATATTTCCACGTAGTGGTGCAAGTGGGGCGAGTTGAACCGGGTTTATGGTCAACCCGAGCCCAACCCTAAAATTTGGGCTTAAAGCCCGAGGTCAAGCCCGGTCTTTACAACCCAAAACCAGTCCCTATGAACTCAGGTTGGACTCAGGCCCGGGCCAGACTCGGATTGGGCCGGGTTCGGGCTATCTAAGAATTATGCCCGAGCCTATCTCAAAAAATAAAAAAAGCTCGACTTCTTAAAACTGAACCCAACCTAAGGGCCAAAAATTCAAACCTAACCCGTGTAAAATTTCAGGTTTAGCCAATTCAGGCTCAGGTTGAACCCACCCAAATTACACCCTTAATTCCACCTGTTTTGTGACGCATCCATCTACAACTAGAAGTGCTTACATTAACCGGCTGAAATGCCAATTCCTATATCCGACAAAAATGTAAAATAGAGTAATACAATGGCACTAGAGATTTACATGGTTCACCTTCTCACCAAAGCCCTAACTCTAAATAGATTCAAAGTTCCTACTCCCCTTTATCTCACACACTCTCTTGTTCACTTTTCTTTACCCCCAACATAGTTTTGTCTAAGGTACAAGACTATTTATATGAGAAAACCCCCAAATTGGATTGGGCCCACAAAACTAATAGGAAATGAATTTGCAAGTCCGGCGAGATCTTGATGCAAATCCAAAGTTCAACAAAACTAATACCTGAGTCCAGCCTACGAAACCAAGCTCCTCTTCTGGATTTCACGAGTTTAGATGAATTGTGCGATAGGAAAGACTTGCAAGATCCTTAACACTATGAGTCCATTCTGCGAGGGCTTCACCACTCACACCCTCGGAGGCCGGTCAATGGTTTCGCTTCCACCACATACCACTAATGTTTAGAAACCAATATAGAACCGGAACTACTTTGGCCACCGATTACTGGGTTAGTGGTTCGAGCATCTGATTTGAATGGATGGCCAGTTCTAATTAAAATAAAAAAGGTCAAAATAACATTGTACGGGTTGAACAAGTTGATGGTTCGACTACTCGAGTAAGTAGGTTATTAACTAAGTCAATAATTTTTTGCTAAAGAATGATTTAAGGGTGAAACAGAATCAATTGCTTGGATGATTTCTAAGTTGAATGGTCCAACTGTCTAAGTCTACAACTGTTTAAAATTATTGATTTTTCATGTATAATTACATATACATCCCTAACTGCTTAGGGAATTTCCTACATTCAGGAACTACCCAATTGATCATTTAGAAGCACCTAGATGCCTTGACAGGGGGCCATTACTCAAGCTAGGCCAAGCATTTTAACATTACAGATTTATATAATAGGGATTGCCATCAAAAATATAAAATTTAGAACCTATAATATAATAAGAAAAAAGAATACCCTGAGGATGGATCGAATAAAAAAGAATTTAATCATCTGGAGTAAATCTGTGTTCAAGGACCCCCAGTTTCATCTTCGCCAATTAGAGGATCAAATCACTTAGGTAGAGCAGAATAGCCTAGGAGATCAAAATAGGATTCAAGAGCTGTATAAAAACTTTGAGGAGCTATTTCATCATGTAGAAAGCATGTGAGGACAAAAATCCTGACAAATGTGCTTACACTTGGGTGATGAAAACACCAAGTACTTTTATAGGAGTACGAGGTTCAAAAAAGAACCACATTAAAAGAATAAAAGATGAACAAGAGAACTAGGTGACGGAGCATAAGGATATTTCTAAGGTATTCACATCCTACTTTACAAAGATGTGTAAAGCCCATCACTGGAAACTTAAGTACCATTCATTCCCTTTTCAACCCTATCATTTGCACATAGGACAATGAACAACTTTTAGCAATCCCCTCAACAATAGAAGAAGTTAAAAAAACCCTTTGGAATATAGGCAGCCTTAAAGCCCCAAGCCCAAGATGGAATGCCTGCATTAGTCTATAAGGAATGATAGGATTTAATGGGAGAGAATATTGTCTCCTTTCTTTAGGAATTTTTCTAAAATAAGAAAATGCTTAGGAAATTGAACCACGTTTTCATCTATCTAATCCCTAAGAAAGTAGGTTGTGTCAAAGTCCAAGACTTTAGACCCATCAAATTGTGTAATGTTCTAGATAAAGTTTTGACTAAGATCCTAGCCAACCGTCTCCGTCCCCTCCTTGACAAATGTATATCCCTAACTCAAGCTGCCTTTGTCCCTAAAAGGCAAATGACTGACAATACCTTAATTTCTCATGAGATGTTCCACATTTTAAAACACTATAAGAGGGGTACAGGATACATGGCCTTTAAATTGGACATGTCCAAACCCTATGACAGGTAAGAATGGTCGTTTCTTACCAAGGTGTTAGGTGTGTTAGGGTTTTCCCCGCAAGTCTACCTTTTGATTAAGCAATGCATCTCACCAATCTCCCTTCTTGGTCCTCGTAAAGAGCACCGTTTCAGCCCTACTCCTCGAGGTCTAAGGCAGGGGGACCCCCTTTCCCCGTATCTTTTTATTCTGGCCATGAAAAGGGTCTTAAGAATGCTAATAAAAGTTGAATACGAAAATAGAATACAAGGTTTCTAAATTACCCCAAAGGCCCCGTCAATATCCCATCTTTTCTTTGCTCACGATAGTTTACTCTTTCTCAGGGTGCATATGGATGAGTTGGATAAATTTGGAAATTGTATCCAAAGAGAAATTCTAATGCAATTCCAAGCCATGTCAGTCCAGTTTATCTTCTTTAGCAAGAATATTCACCCCCATCTGTAGAGAATGATTAGATAATAGCTCCATATCAATAATCTCAACCCAACCTCTAAGTATTTGGGTTTTCCAATGTATTGGTCTAGGAACAGAAACAATGACTTATCCTACATTCTAGACAACATAAAAATAAGCTCAACCACTAGAAGGCACCTGATCTCAACCAAGCTGGAAGACAAATTCTAATCCAATCCATCCTCTAGTCTAATCCCAATTTACTCTATATTGGTGATCAGATTCCCCCATAAAACTATTAATGAAATTGATAAAAGCATCAAGAATTTTCTTGTGGGCAAAATCTAACTCAAACCCCATCCTTATAGATGGTGCGCGTGGAACAAGTTAGCTCACCCCAGAGCCAATGGTGGGCTAGGGTTTAAGATTACCAAAAATGTGAATCTGGACCTCCGACCCTTAAACATAGCCCAATAGCAAATCTGATCCACGATAGTTGAAACTAAAGGCTGATCCAACATCACTTTTCAAAGGAGGAATGTTAGGATATCAACAACACACCTATATTCCTGGAAGATAGCTCCATCTCTTGTAATTGGACACCCCACCCCTCCGAGAAATTCTCAACTAAGTATGCTTATACCCAAATTCAACAATTGTCGAATAATCCCATCCTAGTTGACAAGATAAATGTTTTAGTTGTCTTTGGAAACTCCCTGCCTCCCCAAATTCTAGTTGTTTCTTTGGAGAGCTGTTAACGGACTCATCAGTTAAACAACAAATCTTGGCTAATGATCAGGATCAAACTTGTCAACTTTACAATGAAGCCCCTAAATCAATCAACCATCTTTTTCTGGAATGTCAATTTTCTCAAGCCATCCCATTCATTGCCCTGTGGAATATAAACTTGCAAAACTTGTTTCAAGGATCTCGGTTTAATTGCATTCTTGCTCTTTTGAATGTGTTACCTGATTGTACAATGCTTCATTCAATTCTTAGTTGGTATGCCATTGCTTTGTTTCGAGCAATGAGAGGTATTTCAGAGACAAGAAAATACCAATAAAGATAGTTATTGCCAAAATTAACATGTTTCGAGCTACACAATCTCAGGGAGAAGACACCTATCATACTCCCCCTCAACCCATAATAAATGATCATGGGAATTTTTCTTTAAGGCTGAATTCGAATGCAAATCTGCCTATCTAACCATCTCTCTTGTCATGGTATTGTAGGGGGTCCTTTTAAGAGATTGGGCTTGGTGGAAGAGGCGGAACTTAATTCTATGTTGCAAGGAATTAAGCTAGCAGCCCAAATGTTCGGACTCACTGCCAGTGACGAAAGGGATCCAATAGACATCTTTGCTCCCTTGGTCTTGCCTTTGGCTTTTTCTTACCGGATTACCCCCAGGGGGTTCCTGATGTTTTGAACTATGTTAATATTTTTGGAGTTTAATATAGCTACTTTATCCTTCAAAAAAAAAGTATCTCATGCCATGGTTTCATAAGGCAGCTAAGGCAAGGCGAGAGGCATACACCTCAAGGCAAGGGGGCCAAATTTCACATGGCCTCGGTTGCCTTGGTTTTAGGTCAAAGAGGCATAAGCCTTAGTTTTAGTGAGGCGTAAACGTTTGGCCTATGTTTGGTGGTAGCCTTTTGGGTTGGGGGAAAATTGATTTCAGCATGGGTAATTTTGAAAAATAAAATAAAAGAAAAAGTAAAAGCCCCAAAAGTATACAGTTTCCATCAACCAAAATCTCTTTTCTCCCTTTTCAGATCGAACTCAAGAAGCTTTCTCAGAGCAAACTCTACTCTGTACTCTGTAGTGATTGACTGGTTTCAAAGTTCAATCTTCATCGAAATATTGGAGGGACAAAATCAAATCGTGCATACAAGTCCCCTTCTTATTCTTCTTGACATCTTCTTGGATTGATCATTATGAAATGTAACAAATGTAATTTTTTTGGTTGAATTTTTTATCTCATATTTACCATTTGGTTTTTTGCCTTAGTTTTTTGTCTTAGTTTTTCACCTTTTTCTTATTTTTTGTCTTAGACTCTCAGCTGGGTGGGGCGGCAAATTTGTGGGAGGTGTTGCTTTTTTTCATAAATCATAAGTTCATAACCAGTGGGTCTCAAGGGCAAGCTCTCTCAAGTGTCAAT